TAGAGACAATAGACTTAGGTCAAGTTAAAAAGATTAACAGAGGAAGATGGGAGATAATGGTATATCTGTCACGGAGTCAAAATAATATTTACCAAGTGTCAATGTAGTTGAAGACTGAACGATCTATTCATGGTTGTTTGCTCAAACCTAACTCCTCCATATTCTTCATGGGAGTTGTCAACCCAGCAGTCATCCATTCATTGTTCGCTGTTCGTTGGAAGAGAGAAAACTGTCAGAAGTATTATCGTGATCTATTGTTATAACATTTACTCTGAGACCTTGTGTGTAATAACCTTATTGTTGGTTACATTTTGGCGTAATAATATAGGATTCTCTGGACGCCATTCTGTGTTCTGGTTTTTTCGCGTTGGTTATTACCAATTGTTTCTGACAGTCTTCCAGGGACAACGTGAGGTCCAGCGTAGTAAGTCCTGGACATTAATACCCATTGAGTGATGAAGAAAATAAAGGACAAATTCAGCGGAGAAAATTTCCAATGGTTCTCTGACCAATGTCAGCTGATGATGAAAATCCTTTAACCAATCAAACAAATCCCTACAAACCAATACTTGAATATAAAATTTGTGTTTACACCTCCTTTAAACGAATCTGTAAAATTAAAACAATTAGTCCCTTTGATAAATTTGAATAAGGCGTTGTATAGCGGTTGTAAAGAAACTACGAAATGATATCATCTCGCGAAATTTGTCTTCTTAATGCCTTATTCGAATCTGTAAAAGGTGTTTTGGGGGAGCATTCTAAAGTTTAAGTAGGCCGTAGATATCAGAAATATTAAACCACATCTATGTGCTGAGAAACAATTTGCCACTACATTACACTTTCCTTGGTTTCAGCCAATTCTCAGAAACTGTCAATATCCAGCACTTACTACGCTGAATATCACGCTGTCCCTAGAAGACTTTAAGAAACAATCGGTAATAACCAACGCGAAAAAACCAGAACACAGACTGGCAACTGCAGAATCCTTTATTCTTAGGCCAATACGTAACAAACAATAAGGTTATCACACACAATGTCTAAGAATAAATGTTATAACAATAAATTACGATAATACTTCTGATAGATTTCTCTCTTCCACCGAACAGCGAACGACGAGACGATGACTGTCGTATTGATGACTCTCGCGAAAAATATGGAGTTGGGTTTGACCAAACAACAATGAAGTAACAGTGGACAACAATGGAAGTAATACTTCACGTCTGTACGGTCTGCCCAAAATACATAAACCAGGACTTCCTCTTCGTCCAGTCCTGGATATGTCAAACTCTACCTACCATGGAGTGGCAAAGTGGCTAGGTGAACTCCTCCAACCATTACACAAGATGGTAGTAAGTCATAGTGTTAAAGATGTTTTTGAATTTATTGCTAACGTGGATGATATTAATGTAAATGGAAAGCAAATGCTTTCCCTCGATGTAGCATCACTGTTTACCAATGTACCACTTATGGAGACCGTGGAATTCATATGCCAACAGATACTAGAAAAACAGATCGGCATCGGAATACCGGTTAGTAGTCTGAAAGAGTTGCTTTTAAGATGTACTATGAATGTACATTTCATATTTAACAACCTTTACTACAGGCAAATCGACGGTATTGCCATGAGTTCTCCGTTGGGGCCAATTTTAGCAGATTTCTTTCTTGCCAAGATTGAAAATGGTCCATTGAAAAAAGTAATAGAAAAAGCTGATTCTTATTTTCGTTATGTTGATGATACCTTTATTATTCTTGATGTGAAAGCTGACAAGAATGAAATGTTAAAAAAGTTTAACGAGGCACATCCATCGCTTATCTTCACTTGTGAAGAAGAATATGATGGTGGACTACATTTTCTTGACGTCCAATTGAGCAGAAGAGAGGATGGTTCACTAAAGAGAGATGTCTATAGAAAACCTACATCTGTAGGACAATATACACATTTCCTCAGTTATGTACCAATCCGTTACAAAATCAATTTGGTCAGATGCCTGACGAATAGAGCAAGACGCATCTGTACAGATGACTCTCTAGAGAATGAGTTAGGATACATCCAAAATACGTTAGTCCAAATGGGTTATCCTAGTAGATTTGTCAGGAGACACATGAATGCTAAGTACAATAAAAAGAAACCGACAACAGCTAAAAAGGAACAACTGTTCATCAAACTGCAATTTAATGGGGACGTGGCTAGTGAAGTCTTACATCAGAGATTATCGAGAGCGATAAAACGGACTTATACTGCCGCCACCCTCTGTTTGTCATTTTCCAGCCGGCCAATTTTGATTGCTGAAGTAAAAGATAAGTTACCTAGTTGTGCCACTTCCATGTGTATCTATAAATTTAGTTGCTCCTGTGGAGAAAGCTATATAGGCCGAACAACTAGACAGCTTAACAAACGCACTAATGAGCATCTTCCTTCATGGTTCGGAAAAGGTCAAATAAAGTCCATACGAAGTTCTATTTTGGCTCATTTGATTGATAGTGGTCACCAAGTGGACAAAAATAGTGCTTTCAAAGTTATTTACCGCATTCCATCAAGTCTTTCGAACGGAATCAGAACCCGTCTTTTACACTTAGCCGAAGCTATGGGAATTCAAGAGAACAATCCTAGTCTTTGTATACAAAAGAAATTTGTTCTACCTTTGTCTCTCCCTTGGCCTAGGTGAATTCTATTCAAAACCCTCCCACCCTTTCTTATCATCCCTCTCCTTCGTACTTTTATGATATTTATTTAAACTCTGATTATCGTTCCATTTGATTTGACCTAATTTATTCATTTATTGAATTGTCTACATATATGCATATACTAACTTTGTTATTCTTATCACCTATATAAGCCTTATTAACAATATTTTGTTATTATTATAATCATCGCTATTAACTTCGTTCAAAACATTTACCGCATTATTATTACTATTATTATTATGATTATTATTATTATTATGATTACTATTATTATTTGATCCACAAAATCACCGTCATTGGTTAAAATTTTATATGTATAAGTCTATGTAAATTAGAGTAAAGCCTGAAGAAGATCTAATTGAAAACAATACTGTTCGCTTATATGTCTTGTTCTAACAATGAATTGATCGTTGAATCATTAGAATGATGAATCGAAGTTGGTGTATTTGTTGAGGTACTGCAATTGAGTTACTGCGAGAGCTATACAGTTTTGTAAGTTCATGCCCCCCCCCAACGAAGGATATACTGAGGTGATGCGTATCCTGCGTCAGAGGTTTGGAAAACCCTCGATGATTGTAAGGAACGTGTTCGAGGCTGTTAAAGGTAATGGTAGTCAATTACAAAATGATTCCAAGGCACTCACTGAGTTTCTGGATAACCTGATGACTTACAAGAATACGTTGCTTTCGATGAATTGCATAAGCGATCTGAACTCAAGTTCCGTCCTAGAAGTAATAGTGAGACGCCTACCTACTCGACTGCAAAGGAAGTGGGTGAAGATAAGCACATTCCCAAAGACATCACGCAGCATGTGAGAAGGAATACCCCTTCCCGAACTAGAAGTAACATGCCTAACAACGCACATAACTTGGGAATGCAACGTAGAATGGATCCTCAGGATATATGGAGCACTAAACGGGACTCATATAGGCACCATATTAACGAAAATCCTCGTCCAAACTCTCGCACTATCTATGTTAAACCTCATCAACTTAATGAGAACAGGTCGGCACTTGATCCCCTCAATAACTTCACTCACACACGTGACGTGAGCCAATATGCATATGGCTATGAAAGCCCCATGAGGTACAACTACCAGGGTAATCTTAACACAGGGTACCTAGGTCCAGCAAACTACAACCCAAATTGCAGGGCAGACCATATATCACCAGTAGATGAACGCAGATGCCGACCCATGGATGCTAATAGTCAAAATATGCAACAGGATTATTTTCGGCTGCAGCAAACAATAGCCCCACTCGCTGCACAGTTCATCCAGGAAATAGTACACACACTGACTCTGTCTCACCTCAGAGCCCCTCCAAACATAACGTAGGGATAGTGACAAGTAACCATGTTAACCTCTCCTCCAATAACTCTGGTTTACTAACAATTATGCTCCTGAATGCTAGATCTCTCCTTAATAAAATAACAACGCTTCGCTGCCTGGCATACATAGAACGGCCAACACTAATAATGGTGACTGAAACCTGGCTTACTACTGATATACCTGACACAAAGCTAGTAATAGACAACTACGACATCTATAGGAACGATAGAGTTGACAAAAGAGGAGGCGGTTGCTTAATATATGCCTATAAATCCACTAACTCCAATACTTTCAATAACCCAAATACTGACAAACTCCCAGAATCTAAGTGGATAAGCATCCACACAAACGAAAGTAAAATTCTCGTGGGATGTATATACAGACCCCCCAATAGCCCTGAAATGACTGATATAACTATTGCAGAAATACTAGAGCATGTAGCCACGCTGGACTTCGACTACAAAGTAGTATGTGGAGATTTCAACTTACCTGGAGTAAACTGGGATACCTGTACAGGACCAAGAATCCATGAAGAGCTACTACAAGCTATAGACATAGGAGGATGGAAGCAGTGCGTGCGCCTCCCTACAAGGAACCAAAATACTCTTGACTTAATCCTCTGTCATAACATAGAGCCCATCTCGATAGAGGTGGGAAATAAACTCGATAACAGTGATCACAACATATTGTACTGCACGCTACCCCTCCGACTAACAACTAAATACACACCTAAAAATTCCCCGGTGCGCTATCAATATAGGGACTATAAGAATGCTGATTGGGAATTCCTATCAGATCTGTTGAGAAGTTCTGACTGGGAAGAATACTTCATCAACAATAACTTAGAAGTATCACTTGAGATTTTCTACAAAACAGTTGGCTCAGCAAGAGACACAATCGCGCCCCTAAAATCTGCCCTAAAGACACCAACTCCATTTATTGACCGGAAAACGCGACTAAAACTAAAGAAATTGAAAAGGAAATACCATGTATTTAAGGAATTTAATGCGTTAAACCAAATACATGAAACTCTTAAACTGCTTGAAGAGAAACACAAAATGAAGTCACAACATGAGGAAAATAAAGCGCTAATGGGTAACACCAAAACTCAGGAACTTTGTAGGATATTGCAAAAACGTCTAAAAAGCAGTAAAGACAATAATGTAAGCATCTTGGAACATAGGGGTGTAATATACAACGATCCCCAGGTTATAAGTGAACTCCTCAGTGAGTGGTTTTGCAATGACACCAGAGTGCACCCGACCCCAAATTTCCAAATGACCTGCAAAAGTAACCACAAATTAGGAGAAATAGATTTTAATATACAAAATATAGACTCAGCGATTAAGACATTGAAGTCAAATGGCAGTACTGGAACAGACGACATACCATCTGTCATATACAAAAATGGTAGCACGGAAATGGTAGTCTTGTTACTTAGAATATTTACTCTGTCACTGGAAACTGGAACTTATCCTGAAGTGTGGAAAACCACATACATACTACCTAAGCACAAAGCAGGGGCCAAAACCAGTGCATGCAACTATAGACCTATTAATATAACACCGGTAATATCACGAATAATGGAGAAAGTGGTTAAAGACCAAGTGTCAGACAACTTACTAGAACATGAACTTATCAACCCATCACAACACGGATTCCTCAAAAAGAGATCATGTGCGACCTGTCACATAGACTTTTTCAATGAAGTTACACGAAGCAGGGACAACAGAGAACTAGTAATTGTGCTATATTTCGATATAACAAAAGCCTTCGATAGAGTCCCCCATAATCTGCTAGTCAGCAGGTTATGCTCACTAGGGATATGTGACCCCCTCCTGAGCTGGATAAAATCATTTCTCTGTGACAGGAATCAGATAACAAAAGTTGGCTCGATAATCTCAAGGCCTAAACCTGTAAGTAGTGGTGTAATCCAGGGAAGTGTATTAGGCCCACTCCTATTCATAATATATATAAACAGTATCTGTGAATGCTTTAGTGTTGGTAAACCAATACTATATGCAGATGACTTAAAAGTGACCTATAAATGCAAGAACACAGATCTCGGAATAACAGTAAACGCCATACAGCAAGAATTAGAAAAAATGGATAGATGGTGTGACACCTGGCAACTCCAGTTTAATGTCGACAAATGTGGCTGGCTCTGCATAGGTTGCAACAATTTAGAACTTGACCTGACAATTCAAGGCCATGCACTCTTACGACTGGAATCTGTATTGGACCTAGGACTGAAATACTCACATGACTTATCATTTTCTGAACATATCTCCAAACAAGTGTCAAAGTCACGCAGACTTATCGGCTTTCTACTCAGGAACTTTTACAGAAATGAGTCCAGAATTCTGTTGTACAAGGTTTGTGTGCGTCCTTTATTTGATTACTGTTCATTCATGTATAGTAGTATACGCATAGAGGACAAATTGAAAGTCGAGGGAGTGCAGAGGTACTTCACGTCAAAATTACTCGGAACCGAAAATGGTGCGAACTACTCCACTAGATGTGACACCCTAGGATTAGAAACACTATGGCTAAGACGCCTGAGACTAAACTTAACACTTTACTATAAGCTTCTAAACCACTTAGTTTTTACCTCTACTAATGGCATTCGACTTTCAGATGACAGTGGCTACAAACTAAGACACACTAAGGGTACAGTAGCTATCGAACAATGTAAAACAGCTACCAGGCAAAAGTTTTATTTGATTAGGTATGCACAGATATGGAATAAACTACCAATGGAAATGCGTCAAGCAGGTACATTGGCCTCATTCAAAAAAGTGCTTAACGACAAACTACACGAGTTTGCAAACGACAGTAGTCCTAGTTCCTATCTGAGAGCCTCCGAAATTATAGGTCCATTTAATGTATAAGCTTAAATACTACACCTGTTGTTTTTTGCCTATATTTATAATTTTAGATAAAACATTAACGATTAAGATACTTACCCTCAAACAGACAAGAAGTTTCGTTTGTAAAACTTCTACCCAACACAATAAGTGGAATAAAATGGACATAAACCGACAACATGAAAAAGATATAACTCACCACAACATCACATGGACAGATGTACGCTCGTCGGGCATCTTATATACCTCACCAACTACAACTCAACATTCCTAAGATAATGTGATGAACTTATATCCGTAATGTTGCTGAGCAGTCAATATCCACAACTCCTGTCGGAACAACTAAAATTCAAAAACCCTCCTCAGGAGAAGTAAATACCCACAAGCAGTAGAAATCCATTAATTAATGCGTCTAAAGCTTATGTATTTTACTCCCAACAATGACATTGCAGATCAAATGAGATAAACATATCACTGATTTCAAAATAACACATCAATGAACTATAATTCAAGGATTCTGTACACAACAAAATTATGTATGAAAACTGACTTCAAGCTTTATTTTTTTCCCAGGCACTTATAACCCATCCACCAAAGACCTGGTTTTTTTGTTAATGCGAAGACAATACTTCTGTATTTCCTGATGTGTTGCACTCACTGACAATCTAGCGGATTTTTCCAACTATGCACAGAAATGATTGTACATAAGTGAAAAGGATGTTTTATACTATTGGGATTAACATTTATCAAGTGTATGTATAATCTCCAGTGTACATGTTAAACATATTTTGCTATCGACTGTAAATTGTGACTGAATAATATGGTCCTATTTCTGTAACAATTTGATGATGCCTGTAAACTGGCGTCCCTCATGTAATGCATCATGAGAATAAATTTATTTATAAGCTCCAGTATAAAGGATGAAGGTATTGAGCCAAAGTTCGATGATATTCTGAAACTGGTAAAAGATAGTGTCAATCAATCTATGAGCAAGTTTGCCAGTATATTGCATCCCACCCCTAGAATATAGCAGTCTGAGAGCAAAACGCAATCGTTTGTGACGAAAGGGTCTCAGCGAAGTGGATATCGAGAAAGCTTTATAGTGTCTAGTAATCCATATAAACTTAGTGAAATGTAGTAATTTATTGTAATCGGAATATTAGTATTTCGAGATGACCGAATTACAAGAATACAAACAAAACCCAGAGAGGGCAGAATTCAGGAATTTGTATTTAGCGAAATTATTATGCTGTCAGCTACGTCTCATAAACCGTTAATGCCCAGCTCTCGCTACGCTCGGGCCCACGCTGTTCCTTTGAGTTTCAGAAACGCTTAGTAATAACGGACGCAAAAACCAAAACACCGATCTGCCGCTTGTTATTTCTTTATTGTTACACCAACATATAAAAGGAATAAACGAACTAAGCAACTAAGGTCTGTAAACAAATATTACAATAATAAATCATAAGATTACTTCTGACGATGTTTCACTCTTCTTTCTGAACAGCGACCGATGAGACGATGACTGTCGTATTGATGCCTCCGCGAAAATCGAGGAAGTTGATTTTAAGCAAACAACCAAGAATTGATCGTTCAATCTTCAACTCCATTGACACTCCCCGGCAAAAAAGGGATCCAACCCTTTTTTCCTTCACGACCAATGCACGTCGACTTGGATGCCATTGCGAGAACCTGGGTCACACGGACAGAGCTGAAATGGAAAACAAACAGAAAAGCCAACACACCACAAGCATACCCACAGCACAATCTTACACATCAATGACAACCTGCGCGTCCAGACAGAGACCTCCTCTTGACATCTTGCAACACAATCGCCACTTGCTAGAATGACTCTCGCAGAATGCAAAGTGACCATGGCAGGACCTCATGATACTCTACGCACATCCTCTTAATTACTCACTACCAATTACCATTGAAATCGCTTGTCACTCATTCTGCCTCAGTTCTAGTAGCGGTGACGCATTCGAGCCTCAGTCGTTTACACTCTTTCTCCCCGGCGTGTCGGACCGCAGCTAACAATTATCTCCGTGTGCATTTCATTCTCAGCAATAGCCTAGCCTCCCCGGCGTATACGACCCATCTGCTGTCCTTAACATCAATCAATTCATTCATGGATGTAGAAGACTCGAAACAACTTCAGAAGTAATCACGACGAAAATTTTGACAAAATTGTGCAATAACAACAAGGCACGAAAACAACAAGTAAACACAACTGATCCAAAATCACAAATTGCGAAGACACACCACACGTATACACAAACAGTACAAATAACCTCGCGGATCATGTCTCGATGGAATTCCTTTAAAGAATTGCAGGACTTACACCAGTACGCCTGCAACCCTTCACAGGTTGACGATTGTAATTTGTGGAATGTACGGACACAAACAAGATTAACCAACAATTACGATAATTGGAACTCACATAATTATTTAACACAAACATATGTACAATCACCACATCAAATGTTGTGGATTCTGGCACGACAAACTACCCTTGAAGAACTGTAGGACTTACACCAGTACGCCTACAACCCTTCTCAGGTTGACGCCCTAGGTTGGAAAATCGTCGCAGAGTTCATTTGCTAACTTCCTTCTATCAGCTATATCCTCAAATCTGAACGGTAACACGCCCATGTCATTGTATCGTAGAATATAGATGACCAACAAACACACGACATATCTCATCAACCAAGTATAGAAACAGAGTAATTTACACCAAAGATAATAACATTCAAATAGTAACTTGAAACTGGAAATGCCTTTATTCGTGCAAGTCAATTTAACAATAACTCTCTCCTTTACACTTGGCTTATCCACACTAAACTGACCATTGATATTCGTCCTTTCAAACGAACTGATACTACCATAGTCATTGCACAAGATACTTGAGTTGATGGGCGTCTTTTTCATTGTGGATGAGAGCACCAACGATAACTGAGTGACACAAGGTGATGAACTTAGTGGTGGATCAGAAGCTGTTCTTGTTCGGCTCTCAGATAGTTGTCCAACTGCAAGATTACCACCACTGCTGTCTTTCACTACTAGTTCGGGTTTAGCACTATCATCTGATGATAGGTGGGCTACACGCTGATCAATTACACTGACTGTCTCACAAGTATGCACACCTTCTGGAACTGCATCTGCGTTCAATTCTACTTCACGTTGTAGTTGTACAGAACCTTTATTTAACTTAGCAGTAGTAGGCATATCCCTCATCTCATCATGATCAACCAAAGACAACTGTGAAGTATCATAATCATTATCACAAATATTCACTTTACCGTCAACTTCATCATTTTCAAACTCTTTAATAACAGAAGTAGACAATTTTGGTTCCTCCTCACAAATCATTAAAGGTTTTATAACTTCACTCTGACTAGTAATACCTTGTAAACTTGTAGGGTCAGAACTGCACTCTGAAGCAGCAACTCTATTCTGTGACACTTTATTCAACAACGGCTTACCAGTTGCAACAACAGACTTCTTCACAACAACGTTATCGTCACACAATTCGGAGTCAGACCTGGAGTTTACATTTAGCTTATCACTGAACTTGCTCACTGGTTCACAGTTCACTTCTGTATGCACCTCTTGCACACGTGTAAAACAAAGCCGTGTTTGTCTTGCATCTTGTAACTTATCTGTTGAGGATGTACCACGAAACCTGTTACACTCACTAGGTCTATATGCATTACTAGACATCATGGAGTCTTCTCGATGTCCACCTCTCTGAGGCCTACTCGTCATCAATGAGTGCGTTTTACCCTCAGACTGCTCTATTCTAGGGGTGAGATCTAATAGACTGGCGAACTTGCTCATAGATTCATTGACACTAGTATTTACCAGTTTCAGGATATCATCAATCTTTGGCTCGATACCCCCATCCTCCATACGGGAGCTTATCTTCACCCACTTCCTTTGCAGTCGAGTAGGTAGACGTCTTGCTATTACTTCTAGTATAAAACTCGAGTTGAGGTCACTCATGCGATTCATCGAAATCATTCCATTCTTGTAAAGTAGCAAATTATCCAAAAACTCAGTGAGTGCCTGGGAGTCATCCTGTAATTGACCACCATTACCCTTAACAGCCTCGAATAATTTCCCTGCAATCATCGAAGGTCTTCCAAACCTTTGACGTAATATGCTCAGAGCCTCGTAGTAGCCCTCTTTTGGCTTCATAAACGTACAGCACTGTATAGCTCTTGCAGCATCTCCAGTGCAATATCTCATCAAATACATTAACTTCAATTCATCATTTAATAAAATACCACTCAACATGATCTCAAACTCCTTTACAAATTGTAAATAATCGGCCGGGTTTCCATCAAAACACCGTGGTTCAAATCTAGGGAGTTTGATGTTCCTATTGTCCCTGAACGGCGAAACAATAACATCAACCATGTCATGCTTAACATCAGACACATCGTTACAATTAACAGACAAGTCAACATGACTTACTTTCCTGTTTGTATCCAAGACACTCTGTCCCTTCTTTGACCCAGGCATTGTTGAACTTCACCCAATTCCAAAAATGTTCCAGATATTGCTTGTTCAAAGAGGACTTGACCGGCACCAGGAAAAATGAATGGCAACTATCCAAACTTTCACCAACTGTTTCAATCCGCCAGATCTGTTTCTATCGTCAGAAACTGTCAGCTACGTCTCATAAACCGTTAATGCCCAGCTCTCGCTACGCTCGGGCCCACGCTGTTCCTTTGAGTTTCAGAAACGCTTAGTAATAACGGACGCAAAAACCAAAACACCGATCTGCCGCTTGTTATTTCTTTATTGTTACACCAACATATAAAAGGAATAAACGAACTAAGCAACTAAGGTCTGTAAACAAATATTACAATAATAAATCGTTATATTACTTCTGACGATGTTTCACTCTTCTTTCTGAACAGCGACCGATGAGACGGGTAGCCTGTCGACGGACGTAATTTTGAGTGACCGCGAATGAGATAAACAAGCGATTCGCTCGCTTTTGATTGGCCAGTTTGTCATTCGAGTTGAGGTAATTTCAAACATCATTTTGCTGCTTGGTTAAGTCCAGAATTTCCGTGAGCGTTTTATCAAATTGGAGAGATAACTGACAACACAAATGATTACAGCTCAGGAAAGAAATGATATAGCAGTTGATTTACTTGCTGAATTCAACGAATTCATTCCAAATTACTATCTAAGGACTTCTCATTAGTATCAAGAATGCAAACAATGTCCTGAAGAGGTAATAACTTCACGCAACTTCAATTATCGCTTGACCATTATTTTCAGAGATCCTTAAATAAGTATAATATACACAGTAGTCTGGCTAATCATGATAAAAATGTCATGGTTAATGCAGCATATATGTATACTTTTGTATATGTAGGTAAACCTAGATGAACTGTGTTCTTGTCACGAAGATCGGAAAGCAGGTACCAGATGTCTCAGTAAGCAGTGTAATACATGTAAGTTACATGTTTTTATTTGACGTAAACTGGATCTCCACTCACTTTTAGAATTAATCTTAAATTCAGTTGGAATAAGCTTGTTGAGCACATCAGTATTGAGAGAATACAGTGAAAGTAAGTAAACACATGCTTCTTAAGATTAAGTGATACATTTATTTGATATGATTTTATTATTGTTAGTTGTCTATCTAAGTTAATGTTGAATTCGTTGCGATAATAATACCCATTATTTTTTTTATAGTCACTACGAACATGAATGTTATTATTATTGCTGTCAAGACCTATTATTTGTCATAAAATTGTCATTTTTGCTAAAATATTTGTACAAGCTTTGGAAACTACTGCATATTTTGTCGTTAAATAATTTTATCATTTCATGATGCTTCGATGGACCTACTAGATATTGACAAACGATAAGTTGCGAAGTCCCTTAAGTTTAGTGAAAACTATTGGGCTACTTATACACATATTGATTGTAAAGTGATTATTTGTAAATGCTTATCAGGAAAATTTTTTATTCAGATCATACATGTAATACCCAAGTTAATTATGCTTTTCTTAAACCTTTTCAGACTTATGTAAAAACATATATGTGCCGTGTGAGCAGATGGAACTTACTAACGGTAACAGAGGACTACTCATCTGAATTATCTGTACATTTGAAATCTGATTTTTGTTTAATAAACAATTTTCAATGAATCTGTCTTCCTTCTGTTGTAATGCGATTGTGTTCCAGTAACATAAGTAGCACGTGCTAAGTTAGAAGTTGAGGGTAAACTGTTAGGAGTAAATACGGCGTCTGGAAGACTTTTGTTTACGTGATTATAAGAGCAGATAGCAACGTATCGTGTTCTTTGGCTGAGAACCCTAGGCATTCCGTTTTTAATTATTACGATAACCGTAGTTGCACTGAGTCATACATCTAACTGCATAGGTATAGTCTCTCCTTATGGTACATTGCGACATGCAGAAATCACAAGCAAACCATCTCAGGTAGATTTATTCTCAATTGGTGACTATGAATCGGGAATCAGTTTACGTATTCTGCTATGACGATATATAACTCGAGACGCTTT